TTATAATTAGTACATCGCCCCAGTTATGTGGTGCTTTCATCTAATGATTTTGTTGTATTGATTTAAAACTTGAGGTGGACCTTCTTTAAGACGGGCTTATAAGCTAGTTATAAATATTTATGTATGGATGCCAGATACTAATATACTATCTAATATCAAATACATATGAATATAAAATTCTTAATAGGAACAAATGAGAATACATATTTATTAAAAATGAATATTACAAATGACTACCAATTACCACGTAATATCAAATGTACTGTCAAAAATCGAGTTGAGTCACATAATATGTGACTCAACTCGATTTTCAGTTGTACATATTATGCACAACATTAATTTAACTTTTCATTTATTGTCATCTTATTTAACTCTTTCATTCATTAAAGAAGCACAAATTTATCGCACATTAACTTCAATTTTGGACATCAACTTTAATTTTTGGAAACTTGTGTGAAAAGTGGAAAAATGCAAGGGGAAAACTTACGCCAGGGTACATTGCATACCCAAATATTCCCTGGTTGGGGCTAATAAGTTTTCAATATTTGCCAATAAAATCAGGTCCAACCTTATCCAAACCATTTATTTAACATTCTTAATGATGCAGCTGGTTTATAGTCACCTCAAACTTAAGACACGCTGTCTCTTAAAATGGTGCATAAATTAACCAAAAATGTGGAAGGCGTAAAACCTATTTGCGTACGGATCTATAAAGACTTTTTTTAACTTGTGACCCGTTAAATAAACAAATGTCTACATAACTTGGGACACGTGAATTGGAAGTTGAGCAGTGTTTTATTACTAAACCGAAAAATTCAGTACGGTAAAATCATTCTGACCTGAATATTGCCTGTCAATATTCACACATCAATATGGTTGTAAAATAGCAAAATGAGATAACCTGAAAAAGGAGGAAGGAAAGGAGGAAACTTAAGTCGTGCGTCGAAAAAGGTGAAATAAATTCGTCTAGTACAACCCAGTAAATTTTCGGCACAGCTTGTCATACCTATCAGTATTTGGATAGCATGTTTATAGTGATAATGAACATAAACTTAGATCCAGGAAACATTAATTTTAAATAAGTTGTATAGTTTTGTCCAAATCACACATACCTAGTCAGACCACAAGTTTCTGTACAAGCATTTCTGGCGATAAGTCACAAATAAGATGAGCTATTTGTTAGAAATTTTCGTAGATGAACAATGTACTAATACTAATATTGTTAGTATTAGTGCACTCTCAGGAAACTCAGATAACCACCATCAGGAAGAAAGGCCCCAATAACCCCACTATCTCACAACTCAAGGTAAGATTTTTAAATTTGCGCCATATTCGAAACTTAACTTTTCCCCTTTCACTTCAGTCACGGAAGATAACTTTCATCTCCGTTGCCGACAAACATTTCCAGCTGATAATATAGAAGAAAGAAGTACCGGAATTTTCCATTTTTCCAAGTGGCAAACGTATTTTGGACGGAAACTGAAACCCTGACGTACACATGTTTTCTAGCGTTCTAATTCTGAGTTTCTGAGAATGTCCAATGCATAGTTCATGAGCAGATCACTAACAAGGCAATTCGGTCTTGTTGGATTAAATATTTAGAATGATTAGACTCCAATTTAAACCTGGTTAGGTACGTAGGTTCGTAAGGTTCACAAATTTAGGACCATATTACTTACTAGATTGATGTTTGCGAATTACAAATAATTGACAAAGTCTTGCGAAAACTGATTGCTCACCAAAGTGAGTGCTCTGTACTCCAGACACATGTATAGATATGTATTTATTATGCTCATACTTTTAACACGTCGATATAAAGGAATATTTAAGTGTGGAAAATAACCAGCATTTGAGTTCCTAAATTTGCGAAATAAATTATAAACCCAATTTGGGAGTACCTATTTACGTATGAACTTTGCAAAATTCTTTATACATACCTTGTCGCAATATGAGTGTGAAGGTGATCGGAGCTTCTCTCAATGAATGTATTAACCTTGGCGAATCTAGATTCTTGTCTCTAACTGAACGCCTCCCGGAGTGGAAACTTTCTTGTGGGAAACACAGTTTCAAAATGCTTTCAGAAATATTTTTACCCTACGTAAAATTTCAGATTAAAGTACTAAAATTTTTGAAAGCTGCGCCATTTGTGTTTGATAAAGTTAACAATGAAATCACCACATCCGAAACAAAAATTGAAAGGATTTTCAGGCAACTGGTGCAAATATTAGAGTGGGCATATTTGTGCGCAATGTGTACCGTGGTTTACAGGTTGAAGGAGAATGGATGTCCCGGAAAAATGATGGAAGCCGCGATGTGTTTTAACTGCACGCTAAATTTACTGTTATACAGCTATGGTTGGGATCCAAACGAAAAAGCTGTCGAACTTTTAAATGCTCTGGTAAAATTTGATAAGAATTTTGGTAAGTGAATGATAGCCGATTATCCAAAATTTTTACGAGAAATTAAAGGTTTTTCGAAACTAAAATATAGTTCCTTTTCATAAAATTATTCACAAACTCAGAGCCAATTCACACCTTCATTGATGCCTTGAAATATTCGCTTAGTTAATTGACACAACAGTTTAACAAACAACAATGAGTTTGCAAACAAAAAATTCTGCCAATTATCTTAGAAACGTATGTTAAATTTTGCACAAATTTGTAAGTTTACGGAATATGTATTTAGTTACGTTGCCTGCCAAAATAACACTGATAACTCATGTCCCATGAAATTACTTAACACAGATTTCTCCCAGAAAGGAACTTGGACAGCACTCAGGCTAACGTTGTTTCTCGTATCTACCGTTCCCATGAATGCATGTTTCTGCATCCTGGGGCGTTTCCTGTTGGACCCTTGCGCTCCCCCTTATCTAGGCTCGATTCTTCTGAACTGTCAGAATTGTGGGACCACCGACCGAAATAAAATACAGTGGTTCATGTGGGCTGGAATAATCATTGTGGATACTTTCCACATCATTACGTCAATCCACAATTCCTTCTTCTACTTCTTTTTCGCCCTACTGGTCACGATCTATGCACTTCTCCAGTATGTAACGGCAGTTGGGAAAAGGTGAAGTTTTAGAAATAGTGATAGAAAACTTTCATTTAAGTAATAGTGCTCCACATGAATACGATTTGAATCCAGAATTCTAATTTCGAACCCAAATCCGACTCCATATCAAATCTGAATATGAAGGCATTTTAGGAGTCGACTCTGGCAAATCCGAATTCATGAGGAGCACTAGTGTTCAGTTTTCAACTAACCCTTGAAAGGTCAAGGTTATTTCTGAGCGGTGGGTGTGAATGTGGGAGTAACTCTAACACCATGGTAATACATTTGTGTATTACCGGCATTTTCTTACTAACTGGTTATGGTTGAAAAATTGCGGTAGAAAAATACCAGATCGTAACAAATTTATTGCCATGGTGGAAGAATTACACATTTATGGTACCGTGTGGTAATGCCTGTTATATGATTATTTATACATTGTGTACATTTAAATAATAATTAGGAAGATGAAGCAAGGATTTAAAATCTACAGATGTCTCCAAATCGTGGAAATACTCATGAATGACTTCGGAAAGTTCCGAATCATGCCGAGCACTTTGGTCGTCGCCCCAATAACTCAAATTCTTGCATTGCTGACAATCGTTAAATTTCATGACCGCATTCCACTTCCGGGATTCTTAATATTTCCCATGGCTTACCTGTTGGCAATGGTTGGACTAACGGTTTTGGAATCGATGTCAGGGTTATTGGTGGTCAGATCGGAATACGCGATCTCTGCATGGAAAATAGAGTCTACTCGGAAATCGGTTCAGGGGAGGCAGCTTCGTTGTCTGCAATCATTGAAAGTCAGATTTCGGAGTAATTTTCTGGACAGATTGACGACACTGGTCTCACATAATTTTTGTCTCGAGCAAACAGTATCTTTGCTAATTATGTTGGATTCAGTTGCGTAATGGAATCTTATAAATAATATACTCACTTTACTGCTGGATTTTTGGATTATGTACACCATGTAATTTTCCTAGAATCCTGGCTAAGACTAATCCTTAATTACAAAAATTAATTCGAATTATTTAATATCAATCCTTAATAACATATGTAAGGTAATCCGACTTATTTGCGATTAGCCCTTAATCTCAAAAAGTAATCCAGATTAATTAGGACTAATCATTGATTGCATGTAAGGTGAATGATTAAATCTGAATTCTTAAACCCGATGGTTCTTTAAAAATGAGGAATATATAATACACTAAGGAGTGATTAATTCCGAAACTAATTTTAATCTAACAATCCCGATCAAAGAAAAATTGGATTACCCAACTCTGCACAATTGTCCCGCAATATAAACACATTCTCGTTGAGCCATTTTATTTCACCTTTTTAATGACATAATGGGCGTTATGGACTTCTATCATGTAATACATGATCTATTATTAGATAAAATCCCAACATCGTCTATGTTGCTAATAAAGGGATCGAAAGGATTGTGCATGATTGATTTTGAACACGAGTCCGGGTTAAGGCCATCACCTGCTATAAAAATAAAGACTATAAAGTATAATGATTAAAATAATAAAGTTCAGACGTACATTGAAAGTTCAGGAAGAAATTACAAAATAGAGTCTAACAACTCAGAACAATTTAGATTGCATGTTGTACATATGCATGTGTCCCAGTAGGCAAAAATACAGCGATTCTGTGCGACTTCGCAGCGAAACTTGAACAACGACTCGTTGCGACTCTCTATCGAATCGAAGTCGAAACAACAGCTACATGACCGCCGACTCTTTGGGAAGGAGCAGCGAATTCTCAGCGAATTTCGCAACGACTTCTCAGCGAATTTCGCAACGACTTCTCGCTACTTCGTAGCGAATTCGAGATGGAGTTTCGTTATGAATTCGAGGTGAATTCGATGCTACCTCAATATATAATTGTCGTTGCACATTATAATTATACGAAAACTTGATTTATTGCAAATTAACAAATATAAATATCAGAAAGATATAATTGTTATTTTTATTGAGTTTCTTCTGTCCCAACGATTGAAATATTTCCGGGGTTCGATGTCGGCTTGGAGGGAGGTTTCCTATAAAAGAATAATGGAGTTAGTAAATCACACTTCTGCTAAATAAAACTCGTTCACCACTTACACTTTCTTTCCGAATCGATCAGCTCCCCGCTTCAAAATTTTCTGGAAGGCTTCATCGACAGACTTCCTGGTAACTGGAACGGCGTTATCATTTTGTGAAAGGCCTTCTGAAAATTCACCATCGCAAAATTATATTTTCTTATCTCGTGCACAATTCCATAGTTCTAAAATGGAACTTACCAAATACAACCTGATTGAGTTCGGGATATTGATTTAAAAATGGAGTCTTCCCACTGCGTCCATGATAACTATGTTGTGATAGCATTTCATCCAAACACAAATATTTTGCCATAAGCTCCAAGCAATCTTCCAAAGTGTTTCCTCCACATTCAGAAAGTAATTTTTTCTACAAGTAATGCAAAAACATTAAATATTTTTAATTTTTGGAGACGTAATAATGAAAAAAAGATGGTTGAGTATTACCAATGCTATCTTGGGAGCAGGATCCTTCAAGATTTCCTCCAAAGCTTTCAAGCTTTCCTTGCTTTTTAGGGGGAAAAATTGCCTTGGAAAAGAATATGATGGATTCACTGGGGGGTTGCGGTCTCGGTTGCTCAACAAATTCTGGATATTAGTCAGCCTTCGTCCGTGCTCATTTTGAGTTACTTTTATTTGATGAACTTGTACCAAAATTTCCTTCATGATTTCTAAAATATTATGTAAACATAACAATAATTGAATAACGTATAGCAGCCACAAACATACAAAATGTGCAATATTAAATAATACCATTATTGATGAAATTAGGCGAATTGGAATTATTTGTCTCTGTGTTTGCGATGTTTTGTGCGTATTCCTGTCCCTCTGGCGATACCAATATTAAGCTGCCACCAAATTCAGGTGGAAGAACGAAAGTCGTCTCCCCATTTTCATTTCCTGATTCCAAAGAAGAAACTATTTCAGTACGATGAGTCGTTACTTGTGGGGGTACGGGTAGGGTTGAAGAAAAGGTAGTCGACGACATTTTACTTCTAGTTCCGGTCTGTATTTCAGAATCGCTTAACTTGTTGCCGGTTATTGCCTTTGGAAGTTGTTCAGCAGCTGCATTGTAGGATGCTGAAACGTATTTAATGTTTATAAATGATATAATTATGAGAATTCGACTAATATAAATTAAGAAAGATGCATTTTCGGCCCACTTACCAAAGTATTTTAGTATCGTGATTTCATATGTGGCCCAATGGGGTAATGGCACACCGCCTTTCTTTTTTATTTTCTTAACCCCTTTCTCTCCTGATGGTGGAAATTGGCAATGCGTTGCCTGGTCGTTAATCCAATTTATTGGAACAATTTCTACTGTGTTGTCAGATGGGAAGTGGACAATGGCATGGGTTGAATTTGATTGATCCATTTTCAGTCCTCCGAATGAATTAGTGGGAACAGCACAAATTTCTCACTTTTACTGAGGGGAACACAAACACATTTATGAGACACCTCGGACATAGGGATTAAAAGTTCGGTAGTGTCAACCTTCTTTAAGTTCACTCTGAAAACTAAACCGTGTTTAGAGTCGCAAGGATATTGAAAATAATTTTTTGGAGCGGAAACGATATTTCCGGCGAGAAAAACTTTATCCACTTCAGTCACAATTTTGCTAATAAGTAAGATTTGTTCACTTTTAAGAAGTACAATATTATTTGGGAACTTTACAGAAATTTTGGTATTTTTAAATGTAATTTCTTTCGACTGTTGGGATGTGTTAGAAGTAATGTTTTTTGAATTATCAGAGAGCTCGAGGGTACAACTTTGTTCAGTCAGCCTCCTATGAATTTGTTGGAGAGGAAATTTTGCACTTTTAATTAATCTTTTAATTTTCCCCAGGTAATTCTCAAAACGAAAAGCGCTAAATTCATCTAATGATCCGTGATGTTTGACATCTGCCGCCAAATGAATTAATCCGTGGACATTGTAAGACACGTTTTCCCGTCCGTACAGCTCCTTAAAGTTTTCCACAAAAAAGGTCAAGAGGTTGCCAGCATAATCAATATTTGATTCTGTTTGGTGTGGTTTTAAAAGAATTCTAATTGCTACAGACAATACTAGAAAATTGTGGTAGAATTTTGCTGGTAAAATGTCCCTCAAAACTACAGGGCCTGTGTACAGAAGAAACGTTCTCAATTCCGACGCTTTATACCTATCGCGTTCCTTCAATGTTCTTGGCTTACGAGCAAACTCCTTTGTTAATTTAATACTTTCCAATCTGCTCGAGATTTGTTCAGTTTCTGCATGTCGTAACCTGTATGGTGCCCTTGGGCCGTCTGTCCATAATTTTAATAATTTTTTAGTGACGCCTAAGCATACAAGATGCATGTACTCAAAAACGAAATCATTGACCATGTCAATAGGCAGTTCAAGTAAAGGTGAAGGTGCATGATGATGACGGCTTTGGGATTGTTGGCGAAAAAATTCATTTGTTCTCAGAACTACATTTGTTTTGGTAAACACTACGCGATGATTTACGTAACTTCCCTTAGTCTCACATTTGCCACACCCATAATACCCCGTGTGATTTTTAATTGCAGTCACAAAAGAACGGGCAGGTGCATCACAAACAAAATTCTTGATTTTGATCTTGTATTTCTTCCCGTTGTGATTTAAACCTTCTACACATAGTTGGTTAAGTTCAAGTATAAAATCATGAAGATATTCTTCTAAATTGGATGGTTTTTCGTCACCACAAAAAATGGCAGCAGCAAAAACGTAATTTGTATTAAAGGGTGATACTAATATTGGCCAAAATTGCTTACTACAACTTTTAAATAATGGAATTCCGTCTATATTAATTTGCAAATTAACTTCAGCTACGAGAGGATTGCAATCCAAAAATTTAATTAATCCTGCACTTACACCGAAATATGAAAATTCACCTTTCCCCACAGGAATAGTATTTGTAACTTTGGGTGTCTCTAGCAATGTCCTTGCATCCTTAGGAAAATTTTTAAAACACTCATGAGATTTTAAAATTTCTAATAATTCCGAAGTAGCGTTTCTAGTAATGTTATTACTTACAACCCACTTCCTGATTTCTAATAAATAATTTTTGTCCTCGATTGGAATGCAGGGTGTAAAGTCACTTAAATTGTTATCTGGAGAGCTGACGTTTTCAAAAATTTGAATGGACTGATTCGGTGAACCGGCGCCCAATAATTCCAAATCACTCGTCACTTCACTATCTTGTCCTAATTCTGAATTAATATGTACTTGCACGTTACATGGATTATTAATTTCTTCACTTCCAGTTTGCAGGCTTTTAAAGAAATTATTAATTTTGTTAGAAATTATTCGTCGTTGAGATCTTTTACTCAGCAGATGCTCAGGGCGATGATCACGTGTGCTCATAATGAAGGTTGAAACCAGACTACCACATATAATTATGCTGTGGCAGGAGGCGGAGAGAAGTCGGTGCGAATTCGCTCAGAAGTCGCAGCTGAAATACTTGGTTCGATTTTTGCTCGGAATTCTCTGAGAATTCGCTACGAATTCGACGAGCTTATTCTCTACTCGAAGGAGCAACGAGTTTACTTCTACGACTTCGTAGCGAAATTTCGTATGTATTTCGGTGTTGCATCTTTCGCTACGAAGTCGTACAGAATTCTACGTGGAGTCGGCGTCGAAGTCGAAGCGACTTTTCTCTGCAGCGAAGTCGCCCTAAATTCGCTGGTATCGCTGCGAACTCACAAGGGACACTCACGACCTGTCGTTTTAGTCCAGGGTACCCACTATGTTTTTTAGAATCTACTAGGACCCCTGATAAAGGATTCATTCATATTTCCGTGTAAAACTCATATTTGGCGCCATGGCGTGGCGCCAAACTTAAAAATTTGCATTTTCGACCAATTTCAAACCCCCATAACTTTTGCAGTTTATGTCGGATTTTTAAAATTGTATGCTTAAAATGATCAGAAAAGTCGAAATTTTAGAGAAAAAAATAAAAATCAAAAAGTTTTAATTTTTGAGATATTTTTAGCATTTTTTCGACGAACCCGAAATTTCGAAATTTTGCGAAAAGTTAAAAACGATAATTTTGAAAAAAATTTCATAGAATACGAAAGTTGAACTCCTTGTCATGATTTTTGCAAACAATTTTGAAAATCCGTCCAGGATTTCAAAAGTTATGGCAGTTTTAAAATGAAAAATACGAGCACGTGATGGTCGAGGTTGCATGCTGACCATAATACCATGGGAAACGTATTCAATAGTACTCTACACGAATCCGAGTTGGATCCGGTATTTTAATACTCTGCTCGAATCCGTATATGTATTTGTATTTTATGATTCGCCCTTCTCGAATTTGGGATTTTTTTACTGGATTCCAGCAAATCCGGATTGATAATGAGCACTAGTATTCACTGTTCTATGAATTGATTAAAAGGTCATAACGTAGGGGTGAGTGTGGATGTATTTAAGTATCAGTGACGATATCACCATGGGAATGCATTAATGCATTACCGGCATTTAATAACTTGTTATTAGGCTGATTATTCTGTCCACAGCAGCACTTATCAGGTGGTAACAAATTTACTACCATGGTGATACGGTCACAAATTTATAATCACCGCGCAGTAATGGTGTTATCAGATTATTTGTAGGGCTTACAGGTTTTATAAATCCACTTACTTACCCTCACTAAATAATACCTTTGTAGGAAGATGAAGGAAGGATACCAGGTCTTCAGGTGTCTACAAATCCTGGAAATCCTCATGAATGACTTTGGAAAGTTTCGAATCATGCCGAGCACTTTGGTTGTCGCCCCAATAACGCAAATCCTTGCATTACTGACAATAATTAAGTTTCATGACCGCATGTCATTCCCGGGTTTCTTGATATTTCCCTTGGCTTACCTGGTAGTAATGGTGGGACTCACAGTTTTGGAGTCGATGGCAGGATTTTTGGTGGTTAGATCGGAACTCGCCATAACTGGGTGGAAAATTCATGCAAGTCGGAGATCACTCGAGAGGAGGCAACTTCGTTGTCTGCAGTCATTAAAGGTCCAATTTCGGAATAATTTTCTGGACAGGTTAACGACATTAATTTCACATAATTTTTGTCTCGAGCAAACAGTATCCTTGCTCATTATGTTGGATTCAGTTGCCTAATGAAAGCTGAGAAATAATGTCGTCACTTTGCTGTTTGGAATTACATTACACTCAAAATAATCTGGTATCAATCCAGCGCGGTGAAGTCACATATAGACACCGCACGGTGTTAATTGCCCGCATTAACACCGCGTGGTGTCTATATGTGACAACACCGCACTGGATTGACACCAGGTTATTTTGAGTGTATGTAATTATCTTATTTCGGGCTAAAAGTAATCCTTAATCATAAACATTAAATCGGCCGGGATTATTTAAGATTAATCCTTAATCACAAAAATTATTCAAAATCAGGCCCTTAATCACAAGACTAATCCAGATTCTTTAATATTGATCCTTGGTCGTCCTAATTAATTAGGACTAACCATTAATAACAAAAAGTAATCAGGATGATCTAATCAAAACTTTCTCACTCGCAATTAATATACTAATCTCAATCAAACAAGGCGACAGAAAGTATTTAATCCTTAATCCCTAACCCAGGAAGAAAGCCGTGTTTCATTACCTAGCAGCACTGTACAATGTGATAGGAATGTTTTGGAGTGGGTTAGGTTGTAATTGATTTGACACTTTTACAGGTTGAACCGATAACACGTGAACGCGGTCACTCTTGAATTGCTCCAAAACGGATTGGAGTTTCGGTTCCAAATTTTTGGATGTGGATGGGGGTGGGGGTAGGGGTGGTTTTATAAATGCCGACCTCGCCATGGTCAAATCAGTGTACAAAAGTTGAAATCGTCGATGCCGACTTGTAGCTCGAGAAAAGGGCTTTCACATAAAAAATGTTCTGGACCTCCACTCCAAGCCGTTCAACCAGTAATTGAAGGTCATCCGGGTTCACGTGTTTGCGGTTTAACCTCTGTAGCAACTCTTGACTCAAGAGTCTTGAGTTTGCAAATACTATACTTTTTCAATCATAAATACAGACAATCATAATTTTTTAATTCGACTGTTCGCTAAAATATCTAGTAAAAAAAATTCACTACAATGCAGCATAAATAAATATAACATATATAACAGCGGGAGAGGCCGACCTCTCCCGCTGGCAACCCGATGGTCGTGCGCTCGTCACAAATATCGTCACAACTTGACGAAAAGTGAATTTTACACGGAAATTCCTTCAGTTTGTTTAATAAACCATGTACTGTGGTCATTTTGGTATAGGTGTCGACCCTTAACTCGTTGGACACCTCGGTATGTTCCCTTGTAAGGTTAGCTGCTTCCGGTTAGTAGACTAGTGGTGCCTCCTGATCGTCTGGCACATTGCTATCGTCATCTAACAAGAGTGGACCACCACTGTTCTGCATAATCTCTTTGACGAAGCAATACACAACATAAATTAAGTAAAATTGAAGCCCAATTCCCAAAATTGCACCGGTTATGGTGGAATATGTTTGTCGAAAAAGCACAACGAGTATAGATTGTGATACGACGTGGAAAATGATTTGACACACGATCCAGGCTACACACAAGGTTGTGTTTCTCTGCAGAAATAATTGAAAGAATTAATATTACGCCCGTTTTGCCTGGCGACACTCTTAGAAATTGAGTATGAAAGTAATAACAAGCCGTATTCATGTCCATCCGTGGTGGTATTGATAGATAAATAAGTAATAGCGTGTATTTAGAAATATTCCTAGTTCGGTATTAAAGTCTTAAAATATCGGGAGCAGACTGGGTATAAATTTGTTACCAAGTTGGAACAGCATTAATAATGAGAAAGCTATACCTACCTGCGTGGCTAGACTAGATTTGTTGAAATGTGCTGTTTTTTGTCTTAAATTACTTAATAGCTTACTGTATGATGAATTTTGTAGCACGCATAACTATAATTGTTTGTATTACTTTTAATTTTCTTCGGTTTTCACATACGTGTGCAGACACAGTCTTTTAGTCCTGTTCATTTGTAAATATGTGTTGGTGTAAATGTCATTACAGCTATCAACCTTATTGTGCTGATGACAACAACGGACAACAAGTGCACCTCCACTAACCTGAAAAGTAATTGTGGACTAATTATAAAAAATAATATTCGTTCTCAAAGATAATATGGGCATTCAATTCGAAAAGTTAGCAGCGTTCGGAAAAAATAGAAAGTTCGCAAATTAATTTGGGTTGCCAATTCATCTCCAGGGTAGTATTTAGTTCGCAAATCTGTTTTCAAAATTACGTGGCGATGCAAACTTGCGAACTCGTAATGAATACGCTTCATATATCCTGAAATCGTAACGAATACCCTGAAGTCACCTTTTTGAAACATGAATGCACCTTTAATTCTGTATTAAGTAAACTGTATCAAATAAATTCACAGTATCGTTAACTCGGTAAAGAGTAAAATCTACTCTCCATTTAATATATCTAATTCCTCTTAACACAAAATTGAGACTATATTTGTTTCTGAAAAGGGAAAGTATATCTTTTATGCAGTGTGGGTAAAATTTATGAGGAAATAATTTTACCATTTCATAAATCGCAATGGATTTCACGCCAGTTTGAAGCGAACATCAGCAAGGATTTACTTCCATTATTGAATGTAGTGAGTTGTCGATATTTTTATATGTATATAGGACAGGATCATGATTTTACCTTCTAAATTTAAAATGAAAAAATATTTATTTGCATATTAAGTATAATAAATAATGATTGACTTACTGCATCATGTGAAATGTAGTAAACTAAATTTCGACTGAATTATTTACCTGGTTTGCTTTGTAATATTTGTACCAGGCAGGACGATGAGGTGGAGGAGATAATACTATTCGTCTTTAGCATTCGATTTGTAATTTATGTATTATGGCATGCATTTTTTATCTTATCTGACTTTGACAACCGGTCTACTTTTTTTGAACAGATTATCAAATTAAGCGACATCCTGGACAACAATTAATAAGGTCGCAATAAGGTGATAACTTTGGAAAAATACTCACTGCATAACTTAATATAAATACTTAATTGTTCAGAAGCACTATTTATACATATGTACCAAGTGACGAAGTTCCGTTTAATTCAATTAATACGGGCTCATAATTTATAACGGAAAAATGTTAAGGTCAAAGTTATGGACTTATTTACACGTATGCATATTCATTTGCATATTAATACGTACAGTCTTAAGAATTTCTCATTTTCCTATTTACCGATTTATGTAAATACATGCATACCCCATCGATTTTGCACAATATTACCAGTCAATTGAGTAGAATAGATAAGGGAACCACCCGTAAAATTTGGATACTACATGCATACATGCGCGCATTATGTATGTATGTATGCTTTCCTTAGTATACACATACATAATCTGTATACTACAAATATGTACATAGATATTTTTAACTATACCTTTTTGTACCATTTAATTCCAATTATACCGAAATGAAAAGGAAACAGGGTGGCAATTCGTCCAGTATTATTTTTACACTTTAACCCAAATAGGATTCTCTGAAGAGAGGAAAATTACAAAGGACCTCTAAAGCTTAGACATCGATTTGAAATATGTAGCCATTCCCTAAAAAAATATACCTTAAGAATGAGTTAACCCTTTGTTTAACACAACAATTGGGCTGCATTTTTATAAATATGCATGTATTCTAAATCCACGCTGGATTGAACTGAAGGATTGAACTTTTACAGATATTGAGAATTCCGATAAACTACGCTACTGTCAGTCTCGGAAGTATGTATTTTACTTATGCTGATGGGAAAATTTGAGACTGGCAGTGGCGTAGTTTCTCAGAATTCTAAATTTCTGTAAAAATTCAATCCTGCAGTTCAGTCCAACGTGGATTTAGAGTAGGTGTATGGTACCAAAATATTAAGTACATATACCTGACTTAACGAAGTCCTCATTTGAGAAAAAACGAAGACCTTCCAATTCTTAGGAAAGGATTATCCTTAATTAAACGATCGTTCCGTAAAACTGTCCACTAAAAAATACCTAAATGTTCCACAGACAGGATTTTGTTTTCGCACGCATGTATAAAACCCCTGCGCTTTCAGAATCTCCCTCCACTCGTAAATTAACCAGCTTCGGGGACCCCTCTAATCAAGAATTTGGCTATTCTCACTAAAGAAAAACCTGACACAATGGAAACTGTACCTCATTCTGTCATCCGAAGGGTGGTCAACGTCTTCTTCCTTACTTGCTTCGTATTCCACATGATTTTATCCATCGGACCAGTAGGTGAGTTGTACATGCAGTTAACTACCAGTGGCCTCGGAAGCGTGCCAATGTCCCCACGTTTTGTCCAAAGTTTTGCAACTTTTTGAATTTATTAGTATGTAAGTTAATGAAAAAATTGCGTATTACAGGGTCGCAGAGCGAGGGGCAAGAATGCAAAGGCATTATCGTAAATGTTACTATTCCTAATAGTAAATGTGAAACGGTTTGTGATGGAGCCCTTCCCCAGTTTTTTTTCGGGATATGCGACGCAGGACTGAAATGCTGCTTTAAATTGAACCTCGGAAACGGGACCACTCATACATAAGTAAATGTTATGTACATACGTACTACATTTGGTTCCAGGTTTATAATTTGTTAAATAATAAATGTAATTAATATAAAATAACTTGTTAACCAACACTAAATTTTTACTGAAATTAATATTTTGTGCTTACCGTAAATACTCTATTTATAGCCGGGGCTAAAATCCAAAACTGAGGGTCGCAGACCCGGCTAAAATTAGAGACCCGGCTAAATTTTGTTCCGCCCAAAATTTTAGATGTTACAAGATAATGCTGACTCAATTTGAGTTTTCGTATTTAGAAAGATATGCCATAAGCAACCCATTCACTTTAAATCTACATCTGTAAAGGAGGTTTAGCAGTTTTTTTTTAATTTTCTGTCATGATTATATCCATTATTAACTTGAAATTAATACCCAAAAATTAGTAGGCAACTTATTTGTTGATTGGCATAATGTGCAACATTTTTCATGAATCGGCTATGAACGAGGACACGGCGGACAAGACAGGCCATAATTAGAGACCCGGCTATAATTGGGGACCCGGCTATAATTAGAGACCCGGCTAAAATTTTGAAATCTTGGTCTCGAGACCCGGCTATATTTGGAGACCGGCTATAATTAGAATAGGGCTATAAATAGAGGTTTTACGGTAGTTCTAATTATTTTCCTTCTAAGGAAAATAAATTATTGTGGAACAATGTCCTGAGTATATGCGCAAATAATTATGCGCAGAACAGATGTGTAATTTTCATACAAATTCCGCCTCACGTCTTATCCATGATAAATGGTAAAAGGAATTAAAGATCTTACCTTTGCATAGATTCAAATTCATTTCTCTGTATGCATGTTTGTGATAGAGCAGTAATTTTAATTTAAGGGAGAATTCTCGGACGACATGATTGAAGGAAGAAAATTGATTTATTTTCGAGCTTTCGACACAGCACTCGTGTCATCATCAGGGATAAAATTATTTTGAAATCAAAACATGACAGTAATTTTATTTTAATGTAGGGGATTATTTTAGACTTACGGTTCCTCGAAAAAGCACAGGAGTAGACATGATTTAACTTTAAGTTTTCACCATTCTGGCAAAAATTTAGCGAAGACTGATTGCACAATAAACAAGTTTCCATGCTTTATACATACATATTATTCTAATTCGATAAGTATATCGTTTTAGCAAAATATGGATTTAAATGCGAAATAATGACTATTTGACCTTCTAAATTAGATTAACAGATTAGGCGACATCCTGAACGAATCGGGCAGCACGCAATACGGTGATAACTTTGGAAAAATACTCCGTGCAAAACCTAATAGAAATATTTAATTATTCTGAAGCACTCTACCTAGTGACAAAATTCCGTCTCAGGGCTGTTAACACAAGCTCACAGTAAAGACAAAAAATATTAAAGTCAAGGTTATATATTGATTTACAGGTAGGAATGCATAATAATTTACACGATAAGTACGTATTTACAGTCTTAAAAATTTCTCATTTCCTTATTGATCTATTTATATATTTAATCTATAGATTATACAAAAAATTATCAATAATCCATCAATTGAGTAGAATGGATAGGCGATTTACTAGATTTTAATTTTAATTTTGGAACAAGCAATTGATTACTGTGTTTGCTCTTCATCCAAAACATACCCCTTCAACAATTTGTTTGCATAATATTTACCGGTCGTGTCATAAATATGCCTCTACTGCAAAAATGCAGTTCTGTGTCGCATATGTATGTATTTAAACAGTTCTCATCTGTTCCGTGGGGATAAGTATTTGAGTTTCCAATAAAAGTTATACGTGTATGACTGTATCAATAGTAAAGTAGGGTTGGGAGATCATATTCGGATCAATCTGAGCTGTTGACCGAGTTACCAGATCAGTATTTGAAATACTGCTCGAAAGCTGCATGGCGAAAAATAATTTTAATTCGGTAAATGATGGTCTAGACTTCGGATTTATAACCCAGCATTTGCATAGTTCCTCGTAACTGCAAACGTAGATGGATAAATTTTAGTTGAAGGCATATGTCTAACAATGAGACTTATTACATTTCATTTGTCATTAGGGCTGGTTTGTCAGGCTTAATTTCTCCATTTTTTAATCGTAGAATAAAAGCAGTCGGACAGATCTCTCCCGGATAAGGACACGCTCCTAAGGAAAAGTATTCCCAAACGGTCAGAGCAAATGACCACACGTCAGACTGTGTTGAATACTCTGAATCTACCAATGATTCGATCGCCATCCATTTCCATGGTGAGGGTTCCTGGACAGAAAAATTGTCATAATTTTATTAAGAATTATGTATGAAATCGTTAAAAGCTTACGTTTTCATGTTTCGTGAAAGTGGTGTAACGGTACAGCTGTCGAGATAACCCAAAATCCGCAACTTTGGCTGTTCTCATTAAATTGAGTAAAACGTTTTTCGACGAAATATCTCCATGTATGACCTGTTATATTGACTGAATGTAGATCGGCGTATATATTTACATACATAAGCCCATTTAAAATTCTTGAACACATACATGTTTACCGGCAATATATTCCATGCCATTCGCAGTTTCAAATGCCCATCTCATTAAATCTTGAATGGTAATGGTTTCTGGGCTTTCCCATGAAATATAATCCCTGCGTAACTCAAACACAAATACGGATTACTTTATAAATAAAATAATATTTTACAAGAATCTTGTACCGGTTTATAAGGTCGCATGCTTCATTGTTTATGAATGCTTCACGATTTTCTCTCAAATACGACTGGATGCTCCCATACGCACAGTATTCCATGACGACGTATAATTTCCCTAAATAATCACAATTCATGAAATTTTCAACTTCATCACGAACATTCTGATATCAACATACTTCGCTTCACTTCCGACGTACAAGCACCCACCAAGTTTACTATATTTTCATGACTTCCTATAAAATTTAGGACTTGCAATTCTCGAAGTAGGGATTTAAGAAATGTGACGTCTGGAGAGGGTAGAACTGTCTTTACGGCAACTATTTGACTCGACACAGAATCCACGTGACGTCTTGTTAGTGATGCCTTGTATACAATTCCAAAAGCGCCGCTGCCGAGCGGACGGTTCGTGTCAAGGGCCAGGTCATTGAACGAGATTTCAAACATTTTATTGTAACGTTGGTCTAAAATGTGGATAAATAATACTTTACTTTTTATACATAGATAGTTCGTATTATTTTTAAGCAAGCAATTACATACGTCTATCAGCCTGACTTTCGCTAAAAAAATTATCCAAATCCTCGTCCGATAAGACACGAAGTGCTGGATCGATGGATCCATTCCGCTTAATTTCGAGACTAAACGAAATAATTGTCCAGAAGAAGTATAGCTTGTAAATTGCTAGTAAGAGGCAAGTAACGAATGAAAGGCTGCTGTAGAAAAATCCGTAACTCGCGTTAATGATGAAACAGCAGAGCCAAACCAGATACAAGAATCCGGACTGGAACAGCCACCATTTTAAAGCTTTCCTATCTCTCTGTAAATAGTTTTACTCATACATATTTTTGATAATACTGTGCTCACAATAGTAAAAACAAGATAGAAATGCATACCTTAGAAGCGATCACCAACAATCGAATTGCCAGGCCAATTGAAACAAGTCTGTAGAAATAGCAGAAGATCCAACTTAACATGTAACCTGCTCAACAATAAATTTAGTAAAATATCAATTTAAACTAAAATTATGCTATATAAGAAATTTCACATAAAATGCTAAATATTTATTAAGTACCACAAAACTCTGTGACATTAGCGTCCTTGGTACTCCAAACTTTGTCCAGCTGCCTAGCATAGTCGACACTGGACATAATTATCATTACAAGGCTGACTCCCTGAAAATTACGAAACAATCTTGACTACCCCAAATTTATACTAATTTTAAAATATATGCCTACCACTTCAACCACTGCTGCAGCTTTCACAGCCCCGTGAAGAAATAGTCCCATGCAAGGCTGTAGTATCAAATTTTTGTAATTAAGCCCCATAACTTAGATGGTGATTCGTGAATCACCATCACACAATCAATGGCTCATCGATGAAAGAGTTAGTGTGGTTATATGGAAAATCACTTAGATAATAATAATCATTAACGTCACGTTCTGCGTATTTTGATTAAATTATTCAGTATATTTGTTTGGTTTGTGTGTTGGATAGCGCGTAAAATAAATATAATAATCAATCCTCAAAAACACCGAGCAAACATCAAATAAAGAATGGCGACATGTTTTTAGTAAAATATTCCAAATTGTTGGAAATATGTACCTGTGATAATATTGTTCAAGTCCAGTGATTATCATACCTCGTAAAGTTAAACATGCAATGGAATGTTGTGATTAAGAGTAGTTGCGACTCAACAAATCCGTGCATGGCATGAATATGACGTCGAATTTGCAGTAATATTTGCAGTACTGTGCTTAGTCATACTTTTGTATATGTTAAAGATGTGTATGCATACATACGAAAATGATTAAAACCTTCAGCATTTATAAAATGCAGATCCAATTCAAAGATGAATACAATCAGTAAAAATAACAAAATTAGTTTTTATGCGGCAACAAAAAATAAAACATTTAACACACATCTGCGTACAGGTATCAAACGGCAAATAACGATAGTAACTAAACAATTTGGTACTATGTATTTTGCTGCGAAATTAATTCTGGAAAAAACTATTGCGAAATACGACGGAATAAAAAAGGCGGCCACGCAGGTATATGCAAAACATGAGGATATTTACTGTATCGCTATAGTTTTGCACGCATAACTTCGTTTATATACGTTTTGGTCTCTCTACTTATCTGGCTTAACTGATAAGGCGTGATTTTGAACTATAAAGGAATTAAGCTCAGCATGATAAACGTCGGTACATATGACACCGGTAAATGTAAGCTGGTAGCAATGCCCAGAAAATCCAAGCGTCCAGTTCCTTCCCTACGAATATTATGTATCTATTTCGAACCATTAAAATTTTATTGTATGCGGATATTTGATGAAGTAAATGCGCAAAAATACTTTAGTCTAATATATACCAGTGAATCTGTTTTATTTACCTAGAACTAAGAATAGGAATTATTCCACTCAATAAATAAATCTATATTATAAGCTGGAAATGTTTGTCTGCAAGGGAAGTGAAAGTAATTTTCCGTGACGAAAACGGAAGTGTAGAGAGTTTCACTTCCCTTGCTAACAGATTTTTCAGCTAATAATATACATACAATAAACAAAAATTCGGTGGAATTATACAAAATCCCACTCAATTTTTATGAAAATCAAAGCCCTAAGCCCATCGCCCGGTGGGAGACGGGCTTATACGCTAGTACACAATAAATCAATTTCCGAAACAAATTCCGTTGCACGTTTTTGAGTTTATTTTTCACCATTCTTTGGCATTTTGGCACCATATCATACTGACTAGACTTTTTTCTACATTTGCAAGGGTTCGGTTGGCGATTTTAATTTAACCCTGGTTAGATTGAAATCAAAACTGTTTAGATACCTTACTTGCAGGTACAGTCACCCTAAGGTTTGATAGACTTATGAATCTTGTAGGTGTGGCGTGTTGCTATCGTTATCCAACAGGAGGGGGAAGTGACGCTGGTTAATCTTATTGATGAAGCAGAACACCGCATAAACGAAGTAGAGTTGAAGACAAATTTTCAAAACGGCACCGATTATGGTGGAATCAGTGTTTCTGCTGTTAAAAAACACCTGCACAAAATTAGTGCATAAAAATGTTTTTATGCGTTTAATAACACCCACCAAAAATCCGGAAAAGTGCACAAAATGCACAAAAATGCACAAAAATAATTTAGCTGATTACCATGCAGCAACGCTGAATATTTAAGATAATGGACGAATGCTAAGCTATTTTACGATGTTTTTCAACAATATTAGCACTGTAAAACAATTTTCTAATATTTGGAATTTAAAAATACTTTTCGTAATTTCCGACTTGATAAAATTTTGATTGTTAGAAAATGACAATGCTCAATTATTGTTGAGCGTATATAAAAGTGAAATGTGAAATTAGCGGCATTCTGCCTCGATATTTATTTTTATGCATTTTTGTGCATTTTTGTGCATTTTATGCATTTTTGTGCATTTTATGCACTATGCATGCACAAAAATAATTTTGTGCGCACAAAAAGAAACACTGGGTGGAATATGTTTGTTGAACAAAGAAAACGAATGCGGTTTGAGACACGATCCCGACAATGATTTGACACACGATCCAGGTTATACACAAGATCTTGCTCCGCTGTGAAAAAATGATAAACATTAACTTGATTGCTATTTTGTGTGGGGGAACACTCTATGGTAAAAATAACTACAGATTTTATTTATCTTTTATACAGGGCGGTGGGAAACTATTTGAGAAAATATTCAGCATCGTTAGTATTCTTCGTATCGTAAAATAAGTCGCTACGGCGACGAGACTTTGTACGCGTGGTAAGATTTTGTCGTTAAAAATCCTGTTACGATTTTTAGGAAGCTTGATCTCTTTTTTATCCTTCAGAAACTATTTTACGATACTAAGGATACTAAGAACTAATGAATACCCTCATTACAAACTTACATTCACCGCACCGAACCAGAGTAACATGCCAAGAAAGAAGTTTAACAACCCATACGCAAATCCCAACCAGGAATAGGCAATTATCACAGCATTGAAAGGGTCATTGTAAGTACGATCCTGGCTGAAAATTATCAAAATTGTGGTGCTGATGAGGACAATGGCACCTCCAGTAACCTGAAAAATTAGTGTGAAATAATTTTTAAAAAACATAGACAAAGCGATGAGGAAATTATTTTACCATTTCATAGATCGCAATCCATTTCACTCCAGTCGGAAGAGAACAGCAGCAAGGATTTATTTCCATAATTGAACGATTTCTGTATTGAGAGAGAAGGTTAAAGGTGTTTTTGTTGGACAGGATCTTAATTTTAATTCCTATCATAATGATTGAATTATTGCATCGTAGCCGATCAGCTTTGTGAAAAATAAAGCATTCCGAATTAAGTATTATTTCAGTAAACTAAACTAAAACCTGATTAAACTTTGCTCTATCAAATTTACTTAGGTAATTTATAATTCAGAGTGCATTTACATTTCAATAAGTAACATTATTTTGAGTGCATAGCTAGTATCCTTTGTTCATTCATAAATGATTACATAAATATTATTGATAATTTTAAAAATAAAATCAATTATCAGCCAAATCATAGTATGAATTAATGATCATAATATTAATTTTAACTTCTATTAACTTGCTTAATTGATTTTGTAACTTGACAGCTTTATTGAAATTCTAGGGATTCGTTTTTTATAGTTGTGAGTATAATTTAAAAATTCGTGTTATTAGTTGACCTCAATTTTCTTAAATTTATGCAGTTCCTAAATAGCTCCCATAAAACTGTGAAGAGTAAATTAATTTTAGATTGAATTATTTATGTACCTGGTCTGGTTTGCAAAGTTTCTGTGATGCGGGATATTTCGTGAGATTCGTTAGAGATGATAATAATATAGGCTTTGCTGGCACATATTTATATGCATGCTGGTCCCGGATCTGACCTGGGATGAGTAATTTATTATGCCCTTTTTATCTTATCAAACATTAATTGTCGCGTTTAATATTTATTTTGCAAGTAGATTAAACAACATCCTGAATGCGCCTGACAACAAGTATGTGGCAAGAGCGTAATTAGTATTAAAATACATATGTACTCACTGAATAACTGAATTTTAAGTACATGGATACCGCTTGGTGTTATTTTGCGATTGGATTTTTAAGAGTGTATGCTAATTAAGTATTTCATTCTGCAAATAAAAAATACGGTCTTATCGAAATATTTATTTACATGTCTGAAAATATAATAATTTGCCTGATAAATATGTACAGTTTTAGGCATTTCTCATTCTTTCATGATAAAACCCGTAAAATAGTTATAACTTAAAGCTAGCTAATTTCATATCGCTAATACTTAACAAGGGTAATTTACACTGTGTAAATAAATAAAATTTTTCAATTTGTAAATATCACTCGGAAAAATATATAGTTTCACAAAATCGTTCCTTGTGTATCCATGGTTACGTGTATTCTTCACACGGACCCCTACCCCCCTTAAGCCGACCAATTTTGCATGACATCCCCCTGACTGCAGCACTGGGTCTGGACACTCCAAATCGGAGGGTACGGCCAGAGGTGGAATTTATTCACAACGAGGCACAAATTGGTGGCGACGTTGTAAACTTGTCCCATATTCGGACCTCCCCTCCACTTCTGGTAATTCCCCCCGTTGCACGTGGCCGTCACCGTGTTGACGTAGTAACCATTCGAGTCGAGACACAGCCCCGTCGCGGCGTCGGTTATGGTAAGGTCGTTATTCCAGTTCCATAACTGATAAGCTCCATTGTTTGGCGTGGAAATGTACACACTTCCGTCCGCGTTGCTATCCAACCGCCAGCCACATCCGTTCGCACAGGTGTTGAAATAGCGTGGACTTGCGCGACATGTCGTGACCAAGAGGAGGACTGCGATGGTCGCGAAATACTGGGGGTGGATCATCTCTGCAAAAATGGAGTACATTTGTTAAGGCAAAATTTAATTGAGGTATTAATTATGCATTTCTTATGAGTTGTAACTTATTAAAAAAATATTTTCCAACTAATCCTAAATCAACCTGGAATTTTGTAAAGCAAAATTTCCACTGGTGTACGAATATTAATGATAAAAAATTAAATTTGCTAATAACCTGAATTCTTCGTGAAGATGGATAATGACTTCTTTGTAAATATAAATGTGTAAAAGACAGGTAAGTCTTCGATTTGCAAGTGTTCTAATTTTTATGAACAACGGACTTCTTTTAGTATTAATCAACTCGCATATGTAAATTGACTAAAAACTGGGGTTTCTTTTTGTTTAAATACTACCAGCACAATCGATTTCTTTCACAAGTCCGGGTTGTTCTCTTTATGTACATGCTTGTAAATACGTACGCCAAAATGTTGCGAAGGAAAATGAAGATTTTGTAAATAAACTGGCATGAATAAATCTCATAAGACGTGATCTCCATTCCATGCAGGAGAACTACATGTCCAAACCCAAATACGTCAAACTCGTCCTCAGTGACGCTAAAGATCGAGGTTACTTATTTAGCTAATTGTTTGATCATTAATTCATTTAAGATATTTATAAATTAAGTACTTGAGCATGACTGGGTCTGGGTGTGATAGATACAGTTACATTATGTACGAGCATACTTGTACGAATATGTAGGCACATACATATCTACACATATGTATGTACGTGTACGCACTTGTCATTAAATGCTGGGTAGATTCACGTCAACGTTATGTATCAGTCTGATAAACATGTATTTATGCTAAACATGTGTATGACTTTGTATTGTGGGGTTATCCAAGTTGTTTGACATTAATTTTTAGTGTAAGCATTAAAACAAATGTGGACAAAATGTTGAACAAATTTTCAGATATACTTTTCCAAAACTAAAAAGTCTCTTCCACTAACAAACATGTACTTTTGCAAGTTTGTATGGCACCCTGATTAGTATTTGTGATTTTGACGTGAAATGCCTTAAAAACTTTTGCACGTATGTAAATATGTACATACATACATATGTATGCATTTCCATCATTCTCGCCACTTTTCTTGTGATGATGACGATTATTTATCACACATGCGATGACTTACTCTGCTTCTGACTGATTATTTCCGGGATTATGTAAGAATTTGTAAACAATTTACGTACGTATTTAGATAACTGATACGCCACAAACGACACAGATTTATTAATAACAACCTCAAATCATTGACGTAATGTACTTAGTTAATAAATAAAGTTAAGCATCTTATTTAAAAAGGGAGGTTTTCTCCTCGAAAAAATCACTCCGGAATAAGCTGCCTCTTTACACAGACAAAGACTAACAAAATTATAAAGCTCTTTAAAAAATCTCTTAAAACTTTAACACGTTTTTTGGCAAATCCTCATAAATATCTGTAAGGAATTTATCCACATAAAAACTCCACATAAAATTTTTTCCTAAATTTTTACTCGATTTTTTTTGCAGAAAATGTCACACCTTGCTCTCCCCACATTTCTCATTTTCGCCGTGACCACCTCCTCTACGATCGCAGACTTTCGTCACTTTTCCATCAAAATAAATTCGAACTCTCGACTAGATTCGAATTCTGCCGGTCAAGTGTACATTAACTCCCCGAACGACGGTCAGTACCAAGTTTGGTCGTGGAATGTGGACCACACCATTCGCAACGTGGCGACCGGGCTTTGCCTCGACTCGCAGGGGTACAGCTCATCAAGCGTTATCACCACGACCTGCAACGCGGCGTCCAGGTCGCAGCAATGGTTCGGCGGACCGAACATGGGCCAATTGTTCAACGCGGCGACGATTTGGTGCCTTCACGTCGACACGAACTATGCGACAAAAGTTGTCACGACTTGCTGTGGCGTTGGTGGGACGGTGTATCAGACGTGGGGACTTTAAATTAAGTTAATGGAATGTGGCAAATTTTGTACAAATTTTTTTCACAATTATATGCGACGAAATTGTTATGATTGTGAGATTATATACATATATATTAATTTATCAAGTAATTATCTAATAATTTATGCAAGGTTAACGAATAAATCTGAAAATAAATTACATTGCTAAATACAACTCTTTAGTGGGTTCTGTTCTGTGTGAGAAACTGGAGATATTTTGCATCAATATGTAGGTGTCAATTTAGAAAACAGACTTGACCCATTTTATCACTATCTCATTTCATTCAACCTTTCCGCATACTTAAACATGAATTACATATATTTATACTTTGTAAAATCAGACGTTTATGTCTAATTTTTAAAAACACGTGCATTTTCGGAAAGTGAGAAAAATTACAATAAAAAGATGCCCAGAAAGCAGAATTTAGCCTCGATTTGTAACCCACTAAATGTGTAACCCAGTCCTTAAATATTTAAATCCACCTTGCGGATGATATACATATTTAATCCATTTTCTTCCAAGAGTGTACCTTAAAAAATAAAATCCGCACAAATTTTGCATTATTGCAACTTATTACAATCCACTATTCAATCCCGACTAACAAATTGACTACACCCGTGACACAAAACTGTAATACAAAAAGTGACGTAAACTTATCAAAGAAGTTTACACTTCCAATTTTAATCCTGAGTGGGGCACAAGACCACCAAATTTTCCTATGTCCTCCCCTCCGTCCCCACTCACGCACAACCTCCCGCGACATTTTATACGGTGCCGCGAAAATGTGTAACATTCCAATTATAATTATTCCATCAATGGCCAAACTGGCGAAAACCATTAGGGTCAAAATCCCAATTTTCTCGTGGTAATGAATCAGCACGAATAAGCTGTGACTAATTATGGTGGTCCAGCAAAGGAGGAATAACAGGATAAAGGGCGATTCCCAGCATGAGTTGAAAACATTGACGAAAATTTGAAGTCCACGGTATCTCTGGAATTTGGTTTTCAAGTCGTGAAAATTTGCACCGTTTTCTCCCATTTCTTGGCCCAATACGGCCTTAATGACAATGACGGGAACCATGTAGCCGATTATATTTGTGAGGATGACGGAACAGCAGGCATTCCACCAGTACCAGAAATTCAGAATGGCGAAGAAGATTTTTCCTAGAGTTGTAACATGGGTTTCAAAGTGGGGGGCGGTAAGGAGGGATGATAAACCTAACTGGGGTAGAGGGATACCCAAAACGGCCATAATTAGGGGTAGATTTATCTTCGTGGCGAATACCATGGCGAGAATGATCCTCATAATGGTTTCGACGTGGGAAGGCGACCCACCTAGAAATAATTTTTTCATTAGACTGCAATTAATCCTATATAACAATTTACAACCTGTTCCAAATCTAGAATTTATAACCAATCTAGTGTGTGCTTTTAAATGCATGTTCTATTTAATACCATGATATCTGGAATTCAGCATCACTGCAATTTATTCCAGCACGGGATCATCCATACATATGTTGGATCATCGAAAATTCTCAATTTTAGCTCCTACCCACCCTACGTGTACATTAAGGGATACGGAATTTTAACATGAGAAAGATAGAAGCACTTAAATCTCTCACCCACTAAAATGATGACGTAATATGTATATGGAAGTCCCGTTCCGAAATCTTGTCATAGTTTGTAAGTCTTAGTTAGAGAAGACATTCCATAATATTTACTTATCTACCTATCGCAATGCACAAGCTGTCCCAAATCGAGCATGCAAACCAAGCTAGTTTTTAATTCATACAATTATGTAGGTTTTGATACATATGTAAGCCGTGCCTACCTGTTCTTCTCATCAAATCAGCTTCCATTTCAAACGTCGCCGTGATCAAGGCCGATACTTCGAGCGTCTTTCCATCCAACAAAAGTGTCGTGATATATAGGAAAGGAAAAATGCTGATCGTTGCCAAAAAAAGATCGTATGATGTTCCCCCTCGTTATTTTCATATGCAAAACTCCTAACATGAATTTTTTAATTAATAAAAAAACACGAAGCTGATTTTTCCTGTTTGTGCATTAAAGGTGGAAATAATACCTTAAAATTTTCCAAATAAAAACCCCCACGCAAACGATTGTTACCGAATATGACGCCCAGAACGCGACATTGTCCAGCTTTCTCCGTCTCAGAGGCGTAGCTCTGTCCCGGTCAAAACTAAACGGCAAGACTTTCACAAAGAGAGGACAATCTGTCAAGAAGTATTTAAAACCTTGGGCATAACTCGTCGAAAAAAATATTAGACGAAAATACTGTTTAAAATTTGGAATTAAGATTTTAATCCGGAGAAACTTGATGTTTTTACCAGAAATTAAATTGATAGTGCTGCGACGACGTTGTAACATTGACAAAAAGGTATGCACAAAGGTACACATATTTACTTTACGGGTAAAACGAACCAAACTTCATGTGCGACAGGGGAAATCAAGTGACAACCCGTCGTTGTCTTGTGAATTATTACGAATTTGTGTATGCATAAATAATTATACGAGAGCTGCCATGTTTGGCCTGGCTCAGGGTCAGGCTAAACACTTTCTTCTATTATTGCTGGGTGACTAAAATTAAAGATATTTTTGCTGAAAGGTGAAATGAGCGATCAAGAAATGCTCATGTAGAAAAATTGGCACCAGTTTTACCCGATTTGATAAATTCAAACTATTTTATAGATGGTACATGGAGTGCTCAATAATTTCGAGAGTTGGATTATTTTAATTTCTCAGGGACGAATTGGTAAATTTACTAACTTCGGCTTATTTTATTATTTATGTATGCATAAGTCAAGGAAATCCATGTAAGTCATGGTAATACAATGCATTTGTCGATGTATGCCTATAATTGTTATTTAAGCTATATAAATACATGTACGCTATCATTTTAAATTGCAAGTTACATGTCTCCATGGCTGCCCCATGTTTGTGTAAGTAAAACGCAAATATGTAAATATGCATCTACATATGTCAGGACCCACGTGAATTGTTACTGAAACATGGGTTTGCATGCTCTAAATTGGCAATAATTTTCAACATAAACATATTACTCTAGTCGTTGTTTGCAACCATCATCGCTGAGTTGCTTCTACATATGTACATAAAAAAGTTACAAAAATGTAAATTATGGTCGATTCAGAAATAATACATATGACATAGGCCAATGTAAATAATAATAAAAGGTTAAATGTCATAACCTTTCCATAACTACCATGTATATAAAGTGTAAAAAGATAGAGATTTTTTAGCATCGGTTTAAAATGTGTGACCCACACCTTAAATAAATCCACCATGCGGATGACTTAACCCTCTTTCTTCAGAACGCAGCAAAGGGGAAGAATTTCTACAAATCTATATGTAAATTCTACTAAAATACATAGTATTAAGTACTCATTTGAGACATATTTAATGCCCAGGGTAAGCAAAGGGTTAGCTTTAGAACTTCTGTAATAATCCTCCTGTAAAAAGTTGCACTAATATGTACATAAATAAACATTCCACAAATAAAAATGTCAATTTTTCTATACATAAAAACACTCGGAATCTATGTATCCACTATTACCTTAACAAGTTCGGGGGACGAATCTACGTCATACTTAGTAAAAAAAAACGCTCAACAAGACCAATGGAAGTAACTCGTAAGTTGGCCATTGTCTGCTTTCTCACCTGTTTCGTATTCCCCCTGATGATCCTGTGGATTGGACCAGTAGGTGAGTTACGTCAAAATGTCAAATATTTCGTACTTTTTGTCATGAATTGATGTACATATTAAATGGAGAGTTGGATTTTCAATTTTTCGAATTTAAGTACTAGAATGATGTACTAAAAAAATCAGTAGTACGACAAAGATTAACTTCTTTCGTTTAAGAAATTTTCCTTTGATACGATGTCGATTTCACAATTTCCCCGTACACCAACTAATTAAAATTTTCAACCAGTTTCAAAATATTGAGGTTTTTGACGAAAGAAACGAAAAATGCACTTTTTAATATTTGCCGTTATAGGGAAAATTCCAAAATTTTTGGAGAAAAATACCGACTTTTCACCATCGAGTTTTCCACAAAATACCACAGACATACTATTTTTAGAAAGATTGGTGTAGGGTAATTTATGCAGTACACATGGGTGTGTACATAGTTCCTCGTCAACAGAAAATAAAATACTACACAAAGTCGTCGTTAAGAGGTTAATTTACATTTATTTGCGTAAATTAATTTGCGCATTACAGAGTCACAGAGAATGGGGGAACCATGCAAGGAGTTTCTAACGAATATGACTATTTTCGCGACGAAATGTGAAACGGTTTGTCACCCCGTGTTTACCACTGTTCCGATGGCCAAGTGCGACGATGGGCTTGACTGCTGCTTTGTGTTCCTGGATGATATTTTAGATTTTTCTGGAGACGGGGTTGGAGGTGGGGTTACTCATTAGTAAACTTTTAAAATGTATTTATTTAATCATATTGCATTTGGTTCATGTTTCCTGGAAACTAAATTGTGAACATGATAATAAAAAGTTGTATTGAACGTAATGTTTTGTACTTGAGGTTAAAATGAGTACTTATGTGTGGAAAAATAAACATGTTCGTAATTATTGTGATTCAGATGTACATTATAACATAAATTTTTGTCTATCTCATATCCAAGATTAATGCTGCATTAGGAGGAATACATACATGTTTCACGACTTGCCCCACTCAGATTTTGGTGCCCTTTGCTGCATCCGATGAATGAACCATGGTCCCAAAGTGGTTATATAAGTACTTTTTATGTCCTATTAAAAAATAAAACAAAATACCGTGCATATACCGAATTCATACTCGAATCATTTTTGAACGCTTTTTGAGACTACTCAATATACTGTCCATCCATGCAGAATTGAACTTTTACAGAAATTAAGAATTTTGAGAAACCACGCCATTGTCAGTCTCAAAGTCCCCCGTCAGCCTAATTTGAGGGATTTTGTAACTGACAGTGGCGTGGTTTCTCAAAATTCTCAATTTCTGTAAAAGTTCAATTCTGTATGTATACAAATCAATGCATGCTTTTCATACATGGTGAGAAAAAATGAGTCCCTCCCAACGCAAGCAAGGCTGAAATTTGAGTGGGTAGACTTTATTGCACGTAAAATTGTAATTTA